TTTTCAACACATGCATTCTGCAAATAATATAGACATAGTCCATTGCGCATATGGGGGTTTAGGTAGGGAGGGGGGGGGCAGGTCATGGAGGGTTGTGGGGGCCCATCAGCAAAATCTTGCCCAGGGCCCAATTATTATTAAAGATGGCCCTGCATCCATATGTCCATCCATCCATAGGTCCATCCATCCATCCATAGGTCCATCCATCCATCCATTCATCCATCCATCCATCCATAGGTCCATTCATCCATCCATAGGTCCATTCATCCATATGTCCATCCATCCATCCATCCATCCATAGGTCCATTCATCCATCCATAGGTCCATTCATCCATCCATAGGTCCATCCATCCATATGTCCATTCATCCATCCATATGTCCATCCATCCATCCATAGGTCCATCCATCCATATGTCCATCCATCCATAGGTCCATCCATCCATCCATATGCCCATCCATCCATCCATATGTCCATTCATATGTCCATTCATCCATCCATCCATATGTCCATTCATCCATCCATCCATCCATCCATCCATCCATCCATATGTCCATCCATCCATCCATATGTCCATCCATCCATCCATATATCCAAAACAAATAAGAGACAACTGCCAATAGAGAACAGTCCGTCCACAGCGAGATAAACAATGTGTACAATGTATCCACAGTATAGAGATACAAAGTCATTGTCCAAGTGAGAGCGCTTGTTGCGATTGCCCACAATTATAATAATGTCACTAGAATACAATGATAACTCTTATTTCATTTAGAAATCCTCTGTTGGATCATCTGATTGTTGCCGGATTGCTGAGAAAAGTTCCCGTGAAGGATATCTGCTAGTAAGACACCATCTGCATGTGGCCAGCAAGCTCGCAGGTCAGGGGGAGAGTCCTGCGCATGCGTCACTATGCGGAGACCCGCCGCCCTCAATGTGCTTTGCTTCTTCGAAATGTGTTGATTGACGTGTGCGGGTCTCCATGTAGTGATGCATGTGTGGGACTCTCTTCTTGACCTGCGAGCTCGCTGGCCACAAGCAAACAACGTCTTAGCGCCAAGTAGGGCTGCCACCTTCTCTTCAAGCGAAACCCAAACACTATAGCAACGCTCAGGCATTTTTGCGGGCGAATGAGTGGACCCCTGTCTGCCCGACATCTTGTGTTCGGGTTTCTGCCGCCATGGAACCCGGACGCAGCATTCAAAACTTGGACTTTCCAGGCGAATCCTGAACAGGTGGCAACCCTAGCGCCAAGGGGCAGTGCCTGCATCTGGCACTAATTTTGAACTACAGGCTTATCGGGTTTAGTAGCAATGTCTGCGTCCTTTATATGTGGACTTGGGTTGGATCCTTTAAAAGCCAGACATGTGCGATTCGTTTAGTTCCGAATCGAAATTCAGACAAAATTTTAGGAAATTCGGATGTATCTGGTTTCCGAATTATTTATATATTACAGGTATTTATAGAGCGCCGACAATTTACGCAGCGCTTTTACATAGCGTACAGTCACATCAGTCCCTGCCCTCATGGAGCTTAGAGGGCCAATTTACAGAGGAACCAATTAACCTTAGGGTTGCCACCTTTTCTTCAATCAAAACCCGAACACTCTAGCGACGAGCAGACATTTTTTTGGAGTCGTGGCTTATTCATATGTAAATAGCGCCACCCATTCATAGGTAAATATCACAGTCGAGACTGTACAGTGAAGGGCCGGTAGCCTCTATCTTAATTTTGGTTGCCCCTGTCTGCCTGACATCTTGTGTCCGGGTTTCTGCTGCCATGAAACCCGGACACAGCATCCAAAACCCGAACTGTCCGGGTGAATCCTGGACAGGTGGCAACCCTAATTAACCTCCCAGCATGTCTTTGAAGTGTGGAAGGAAACCGGAGTACCCGGAGGAAACCCACGCAAGCACAGGAAGGACATTTTCAAATCATTCATTAAAATAATTCCTGGTAATCCCGCCAAAGGGGTCCTTTTTCAGGCACTTCCTGTTATATATATGACCACTCTCTCTTCCTGTCTCCCAGTTGTGCTCCTACGTTGTCATGCTGTCACATGGGCTTCTAATGGGATCTACAAGTGTCTCTTTTCAACACACATTACACAAACATGGTCCACTGTCCCCACCATTAGGAAACTCGCCCTGAGAAATGCCATTGAGCGCATGTAGACAGGAAGTGGCTGCATAGAGGTAAGCAAGGGAGAACATGCAAACTCCTTGCAGATAGTGACCTGGCCGGGATTCGAAAGGGGGACCCCCAGTGCTGCAAGGCAGAAGCACTAACCACTACGCCACTGTGCTGCCCAATTACAGATATAATGGATTCCGAAATTCGTTAGCGGTAGTCTGTACGACATTTCGTTTGTTGGACGAAATTTCGTTGCAGCAAAGTGACATTTGAGAATCAAACATTTTTTTTCCCCCCTCAAACGTCACGTTGCTGCAACGAATGAACGAAAGCGAAACGTTAATGCGTGCAGACTACCGCTAATGGATTTTGTCCGAATCCAAATACCGAAACGAATTGACTTTCAAACCCGAATTCCCGAAAAACTAAATAACGCAAAATCCGAATCAAAACGAAATGAAACGGAAATTTTTTTTTGCCGGTGCACATGTCTGATAAAAGCCCTACGCACCTGCAGCTTACATGGGCCTTGAGTGGTACCTGCGGCATGTAGCAGCTTCCAGAACTGGTGAATCTTCATAAGGGATACAGACAGCAGTATGAACATGACATGAGTTCTCATCCTTTCCGGTTCTATCCAAAACGACAAAAAAGATTCGGCCATACATACACTTTATAATGCGGTACAGCAAAGACCCTGCACGTGCTAATGGATATATCGCATTGCCCAGTGGTGGGGCAAAAGGACAGCGGGGTACCACAGGGACCTCTGATGTCACTGACTGGCTGGCTTGAAAGGGCAGCAAAGTCATAAATGACTTTGAATAAGAGGAAGAAATATAATAAAATATAACCCTGAAAATGAGAAATATACAGCACACTTAGGGGCGGATGTATAAATGTTTCGCGCAGCGTCTAGCTGGATAAACGCCGTTCGCTTTCCATTCCCACCAGTAGATGGGGCTGAGCTTCATAGGAAATATACACCTCCGCACCATCCAGTGGCAGGAATGCCTTGTGAGCGACATTTGTCCAGCTAGATCAGAGGTAGCCAAACTCCAGCACTCCGGCTGTGGTGGAACTACAAATCCCATGAGGCATTGCAAGATTCTCACAGCCACAGTCATGACTCCCGGAGAGAGATGCATCATGGGATTTGTAGTTTCCCCACAGATGGAGGGCCCAGAGCTTGGCTACCCCTGAGCTAGACACAGGGATGAACATTTATACATCTGCCCCTAAGTGCACCTCTGTTGTGTGGATGAACTGATACTGATTGAGGTGTCTTACTACAAATGTTGATGCTACACCACAACACACAGGGGGACATTTATATCCATTGTGTCGCATTGCCAGGAGATGCTGAACAGGAGCAGAGAGACGTGAGACAGATTTATGATAATCGGGCGCTTATTCAAAAGTTTCTCCTTCCGCTGCTTTAAAGGAGAACTATGAGGTGAGTGCTTTTTACTCCTCCTCATAGTTCTAGCCGACCTGTGACAATGAGACTGTCAGAGGTCGGCTCAGTAGATCGGGAGTTGAGCGAACACATACGGGCGTTCGCTCACCTCTCGATCCTGTCACAGCTCTCTGCCGTGACAGGGGAGGGGCTGG